CGAAACAACACAAAGAACAGTGAATCATCACTATAATTCAGTTTTAATAAACCTGTTGTCAGCTACTGTAGTACTACATCATGGTAAAACCTGTTGTCAGCTACTGTAGTACTACATCATGGTAAAACCTGTTGTCAGCTACTGTAGTACTACATCATGGTAAAACCTGTTGTCAGCTACTGTAGTACTACATCATGGTATAACCTGTTGTCAGCTACTGTAGTACTACATCATGGTAAAACCTGTTGTCAGCTACTGTAGTACTACATCATGGTAAAACCTGTTGTCAGTTACTGTAGTACTACATCATGGTAAACCTGTTGTCAGCTACTGTAGTACTACATCATGGTATAACCTGTTGTCAGCTACTGTAGTACTACATCATGGTATAACCTGTTGTCAGCTACTGTAGTACTACATCATGGTAAAACCTGTTGTCAGCTACTGTAGTACTACATCATGGTATAACCTGTTGTCAGCTACTGTAGTACTACATCATGGTATAACCTGTTGTCAGCTACTGTAGTACTACATCATGGTATAACCTGTTGTCAGCTACTGTAGTACTACATCATGGTAAAACCTGTTGTCAGCTACTGTAGTACTACATCATGGTAAAACCAACTCCCCTCTCTTTTGGTGTGGGATAGACCCCACCTCCACAAACTATGTCAACCAACATTGGACAAACCACTTGAGTGACAGGCTAAGGAGGCAGACTGAGTACCCAGAGAAGGAGCCCCCAAAGGGGGGGGGGGGGGGGGGGGGGGGGGGGGTTAGGAGAGTGAGATGGGGGGGGTCTAGGAGAGGGAGAGTGAGGGGGGAGGTCTAGAGGAATCTAATCTTCAACTATGCTGAACACAGATTACATATATAGGCACTGCAGGCTCGACAGGATCCCGCGCCTCAGCCGGCTCGTCAGGCTCCCATGCCTCAGCCGGCTCGTCAGGCTCCCATGCCTCAGCCCGGCTCGACAGGTTCCCGCGCCTCAGCTGGCTCGACAGGTTTCCGCGCCTCGGCCGGCTCGTCAGGTTCCCGCGCCTCAGCTTGCTCCACAGGTTCCCGCGCTTCAGCAGAGGTGACCGGTCCACTCCTGATCCCCGTGATCGTCCCTTTGGTCGGCGTCCTGCGGCTGGAGCCTCGCGTCAGGGAGGGGGTACTGTCACATATACTCCCCCTCTGGCCTCTCGGTCACCAGGCTGCTCTTTATTACGCACACCTGTCGCCATGGTTACGCGCATCAGCACCTCATCAGACATCACCTTCCTGATTACCTCCCCTATATATGTCACTCCCTTTGGTTCCTTCCCTAGGGGTGATTGTTCCTGTTACTCTGTTCCTGTCTGTACTCTACTCTTGTTTTGTTCCATGTTTTATTCATCATTAAATGCACTCCCTGTACTTGCTTCCCGACTCCCAGCGTACATTGTTACAATGAAATGATAAAATATACAGACCACAAATTCCAATTGGCTATACTTAAACTCTTTAACATCATCCTTAGCTCTGGCATCTTCCCCAATATTTGGAACCAAGGACTGATCACCCCAATCCACAAAAGTGGAGACAAATTTGACCCCAATAACTACCGTGGGATATGCGTCAACAGCAACCTTGGGAAAATCCTCTGCATTATCATTAACAGCAGACCCGTACATTTCCTCACTGAAAACAATGTACTGAGCAAATGTCAAAATACAAATGGATGGAAAGTGGTGTTGGGGGAAAAACAAACGACATTATAAAATCCATGTACACAAACAAGTGTGCGGTTAAAATTGGCAAAAAACACAGACATTTCTTTCCACATGGCCGTGGGGTGAGACAGGGATGCAGCTTAAGCCCCACCCTCTTCAACATATATATCAACTAATTGGCGAGGGCACTAGAACAGTCTGCAGCACCCGCCCTCACCCTACTAGAATCTGAAGTCAAATGTCTACTGTTTGCTGATGATCTGGTGCTTCTGTCCCCAACCAAGGAGGGCCTACAGCAGCACCTAGATCTTCTGCACAGATTCTGTCAGACCTGGGCCCTGACAGTAAATCACAGTAAGACAAAAATAATGGTGTTCCAAAAAAGGTCCAGTTGCCAGGACCACAAATACAAATTCCATCTAGACACCGTTGCCCTAGAGCACAGAAAAAACTATACCTCGGCCTAAACATCAGCCCCAGGACAGCAACACAGTTGATAATTACTTGACACATTAGAAAGAATTAACAAATAAACAGAGAAAACTAGAATGCTATTTGGCCCTAAACAGAGAGTACACAGTGGCAGAATACCTGACCACTGTGACTGACCCAAAATTAAGGACATATTTGACTAGGTACAGACTCAAAATCAAATCAAATGTTATTTGTCACATACACTTGTTTAGCAGATGTTATTGCAGGTGTAGCGAAATGCTTGTGTTTCTTGCTCCGACAGTGCAGTAATACCAGCCGACGCTTGGCATTGTGCATGTTGCTCGGCCATGGAAACCCATTTCATGAAGCTCCCGACGAACAGTTATTGTGCTGACATTGCTTCCAGAGGCAGCTTGGAACAACTGAGGACAGACGATTTTTACGTGCTACGCGCTTCAGCACTCGGCGGTCCCGTTCTGTGAGCTTGTGTGGCCTACCACTTCGCGGCTGAGCCGTTGTTGCTCCTAGATGTTTCCACTTCACAATAACAGCACTTACAGTTGACCAGGGCAGCTCTAGCAGGGCAGAAATTTGACAAACTGACTTGCTGGAAAGGTGGCATCCTTTGACGATGCCATGTTGAAAGTTACTGAGCTGTTCAGTAAGGCCATTTTACTGCCAATGTTTGTCAATGGAGTTTGCATGGCTGTGTGCTCGATTTTATACACCTGTCAGCAATGGGTGTGGCTGAACTAGCCGAATCCACTAATTTGAAGGGGTGTCCAAATACTTTTGTATATATATAGTGTATCTAGGTCTAAACATCAGCAACACCGGTAGCTTTCACATGGCGGTGAACGAGCTGAGAGACAAAGCAAGAAGAGCATTCCATACTATTAAAAGGAACATTAATATTCACTAGTTTGGGCTGGCTTGGGAGATCACAGTGCTATCGGTCAGAGTGTGTGTGTGTGTGTGTGTGTGTGTCTCATTGTGTGTTATTTGGGTGAAGGGTAGAGGGGGGGCCAGCTGAACAGCGGTGGGGGTCCACATCTTTGAAAGTGCAGGGCCTCAACAGACAGAGAGGAAAAAGGAGTGTGTGTCCATGCATGTGTGTGTGAACAGGGAGCCATTGTCTGGTGGTGTACAGGCTGCCAGGTACTCTCCCCCACAGATCTAAAGCTGCTTTGTGACTCAGCTGGTCTCAGGCTGCCAGGTCCTCTCCACCACAGATCTAAAGCTGCTTTGTGACTCAGCTGGTCTCAGGCTGCCAGGTACTCTCCTCCACAGATCTAAAGCTGCTTTGTGACTCAGCTGGTCTCAGGCTGCCAGGTCCTCTCCACCACAGATCTAAAGCTGCTTTGTGACTCAGCTGGTCTCAGGCTGCCAGGTCCTCTCCCCCACAGATCTAAAGCTGCTTTGTGACTCAGCTGGTCTCAGGCTGCCAGGTACTCTCCACCACAGATCTAAAGCTGCTTTGTGACTCAGCTGGTCTCAGGCTGCCAGGTCCTCTCCACCACAGATCTAAAGCTGCTTTGTGACTCAGCTGGTCTCAGGCTGCCAGGTCCTCTCCACCACAGATCTAAAGCTGCTTTGTGACTCAGCTGGTCTCAGGCTGCCAGGTACTCTCCCCCACAGATCTAAAGCTGCTTTGTGACTCAGCTGGTCTCAGGCTGCCAGGTCCTCTCCCCCACAGATCTAAAGCTGCTTTGTGACTCAGCTGGTCTCAGGCTGCCAGGTCCTCTCCACCACAGATCTAAAGCTGCTTTGTGACTCAGCTGGTCTCAGGCTGCCAGGTCCTCTCCACCACAGATCTAAAGCTGCTTTGTGACTCAGCTGGTCTCAGGCTGCCAGGTCCTCTCCCCCACAGATCTAAAGCTGCTTTGTGACTCAGCTGGTCTCAGGCTGCCAGGTCCTCTCCACCACAGATCTAAAGCTGCTTTGTGACTCAGCTGGTCTCAGGCTGCCAGGTCCTCTCCACCACAGATCTAAAGCTGCTTTGTGACTCAGCTGGTCTCAGGCTGCCAGGTCCTCTCCACCACAGATCTAAAGCTGCTTTGTGACTCAGCTGGTCTCAGGCTGCCAGGTCCTCTCCACCACAGATCTAAAGCTGCTTTGTGACTCAGCTGGTCTCAGGCTGCCAGGTCCTCTCCACCACAGATCTAAAGCTGCTTTGTGACTCAGCTGGTCTCAGGCTGCCAGGTACTCTCCCCCACAGATCTAAAGCTGCTTTGTGACTCAGCTGGTCTCAGGCTGCCAGGTCCTCTCCACCACAGATCTAAAGCTGCTTTGTGACTCAGCTGGTGTTCAGGCTGCCAGGTCCTCTCCACCACAGATCTAAAGCTGCTTTGTGACTCAGCTGGTCTCAGGCTGCCAGGTCCTCTCCACCACAGATCTAAAGCTTATAAAAAAAATGTTTAACTTTTTATAACTTTATCAGAAACTAAAGACATCTCTGAAACAGGCATTCATCAGCACAGGAACTAAAGACATCTCTGAAACAGGCATTCATCAGCACAGGAACTAAAGACACATATCTGAAACAGTCTAGAGACTATGGGTCTCGTCTGCTTAGTGTTTGCATGTACTGATGCTAACCTGTTATTTATTGAAGGGTATAAAACATAGAATGTAGAGTTCAGAAGGAACACAATCATAGAGCTAGAATGTAGAAATGACACTTTAATGGTTTTAGCGTTCATTTCCATTCGATCTGAAGAATATTGGAGCAAACCTTGCACAGGTTTGCTCCTTAAATATAACTAGCTACTTGTTTATGAATTTCTTTGATAACATTTCCAAATAATTGTTATTTAAATCAAGTTATTATTATCATGTTTTCTCTGTCTCTTCCTCCGTGTGTCACAGTATGCCACCGATTACAAGATGGTCGCTGTGGGAAACGACACCAATGGAACCATCCTCTACCAGAAGGTATTTATTATGACATCCCTCATATTTGTTTGTTTGATTGTTTGTTAGGGTCTCATTTAGCCTGTCATAGGCTATTCATCCAAGAAAGACCAAAAGACCAAACGAATGACAACTATTAAGAAAGTGGAATGACAACCACAGTACAGTAAGAACACAGACACACTGGAAATATACACTATAGAAGAACAGGTGTCTGTGTTAGGAGATGGTTGAGGGGGCTGGTCCACGGACAGGAGGGGGCTGGTCCACGGACAGGAGGGGGCTGGTCCACGGACAGGAGGGGGCTGGTCCACGGACAGGAGGGGGCTGGTCCACGGACAGGAGGGGGCTGGTCCACGGACAGGAGGGGGCTGGTCCACGGACAGGAGGGGGCTGATCCACGGACAGGAGGGGGCTGGTCCACGGACAGGAGGGGGCTGGTCCACGGACAGGAGGGGGCTGGTCCACAGACAGGACAAATAACGAGACAGACAGGAAGAAGATGGAGTAAAGATCTTAGTCAGCATATTTCCTCTGGGTCGGTTGTTGGGGGTACGTCCTAAACAGCTCTGAGTCTGTTATTGGGGGTACGTCCTAAACAGCTCTGAGTCTGTTATTGGGGTACGTCCTAAACAGCTCTGAGTCTGTTATTGGGGGTACGTCCTAAACAGCTCTGAGTCTGTTATTGGGGGTACGTCCTAAACAGCTCTGAGTCTGTTATTGGGGGTACGTCCCAAACAGCTCTGAGTCTGTTATTGGGGGTACGTCCTAAACAGCTCTGAGTCTGTTATTGGGGGTACGTCCTAAACAGCTCTGAAAGACCAGTGGGTGGACAGCAAACACAGAGGAACACAGTGTGAATTTCAGAAGACCTTCAAGAATGCTTAGAAGAAGCTTTGATGTGCTCCTGTGCCCTAACAAAGCCACGTTGTAGCCACAACCTCAGGATACTGCAAGAAGATCCTGCCTTGGCAGTTTGTTATGTCATGGTCCAGTCAGCAGTGATGATATGAGCTCCCACCCACCTCTGTCTGAGGAAGATTCAGTAGTCTACCATTTTAAAAGCCTACAGATGGAAAAAGAACAGAAAAGCCTGCACACCCCGTTCCTGCATATGCTCCCAATTACCACCTTTGTTGACAACGTTTTGATCCCAAGGAGCTTCATCAGGTCAAAACATGTAGGCACAGCGTTTCACAGGGGACGATGTCCCAAAGAAACAAAACGTCAACCAACGTGTCGTGTCCGTCCACCATGAACATGGAATGAAATACACAGATCACCAGCATGCAAGGGTTAATGATCCGGGAGGAAGCCCAGCCATGTCATCACTCAGCTGGGTAGTTTGGCCCAGCCACCACAGGGCCCGCGGAGGAAGAAAAGACTGGAGCCAGGGACTGGGAGGGGTGAAAAGGATCGGAGGGGACAGGGCCAGTCCCTCTCTGAGTCCCCCTCTTGAACCCAGCTGTTAGACTGACAAGGGCATGTGTACCAAATGGCACTCTATTCCCTATAAAGTGCACTACTTTTAACCAGGGCCCTGGATACTTTATAGTGATTAGGGTGCCATTTGGGACGTTCCCACAAGAATGTGGACTCATTCATTGGCAGAGAATTACCAGTCTATGAGGGGCACTGATGGGCAGACATGGCAGACCCTCCTCGGACCAGTGCCAAGAGTGGTGGGTCCCCCCTAAACGGGTCAATGGGAGCATAGCTCTTTTCTCTGGTCTGAATGTCATCTGAGGAGGCTATTTAAATGGTAGCCTACTGAATCTAATACAAATGAAAGGCTATGTTCTGAAGTTCTGATGTTCTGATGTTCTAATGTTCTATGTTCTCATGTTCTGTGTTCTGATGTTCTATGTTTTGATGTTCTGTGTTCTGATGTGAGTTCTTATTTTTTGGTACATATTTATTTTAAAACAATAACAACCATACATAAACAAAAGTGTGTTATGTGTTCTATGTAGGTTCCTGTGGGCACAGAACCAGATGGTATGAACATCTTGGGCCTGGTTCTCTTTGCCATGGTGTTCGGGGTGGCACTGAGGAAGCTGGGAGCGGAGGGGGAGGAGCTCATACGCTTCTTCAACGCGTTCAACGAAGCCACCATGGTTCTGGTGTCCTGGATCATGTGGTGAGTGACCTTAAACAACCCAGATCATGTGATTAGCCTCTCCTGGTTGCCAAGACTATTCCCAAGGGAAAGCAAGAGGAGCTTCTGATGGCCACTAGATATGTCTGTTCTGTTTATTCCATAAGGACTGCATAAGTATGACGTGTTGTAGGTTGACATGATGCATTTCACACTAAAATGAGAAGCCTCCTTTTTGACTGGGAAGCGCCTACTTACGTTGAATCTAATTGTAAATAAAATAACATATTAAAGATAAATGTTTTAGCTGTTCCGCAGCTAAAATAAATATTCCGTTAGTCAGCAACTTACCTCACCAAATGGTATAAATGATATATTTCTCCTACCTCAGGTACGTCCCGTTCGGCATTATGTTCCTGGTGGGCAGTAAGATAGTGGAGATGGAGGATGTGGTTCTGTTGGTGACCAGTCTGGGGAAATACATATTGGCCTCCGTCCTGGGTCATATCATCCACGGAGGGGTCGTCCTGCCTCTCATCTACTTTGGGTTCACACGCAAGAACCCCTTCAGTTTCCTGTCCGGCCTCATCACGCCCTTCACCACCGCCTTCGCCACCTGCTCCAGGTAGGCCTCTGTTACTGTATCCCTCCGCCTGTCCAGGTACTATCCTGTCCGCCTGTCTAGGTACTATCCCTCCACCTGTCCAGGTACTATCCCTCAACCTGTCCAGGTACTATCCCCTCACTTGTCCAAGTACTATCCCTCCACCTGTCCAGGTACTATCCCTCCACCTATCCAGGTACTATCCCTCTGCCTGTCCAGGTACTATCCCTCGACCTGTCCAGGTACTATCCCTCCACTTGTCCAGGTACTATCCCACCACCTGTCCAGGTACTATCCCTCCACCTGTCCAGGTACTATCCCGCCGCCTGTCCAGGTACTATCCCTCCACCTGTCCAGGTACTATCCCTCCACCTGTCCAGGTACTATCCCTCCGCCTGTCCAGGTACTATCCCTCTACCTGTCCAGGTACTATTCCCCCACCTGTCCAGGTACTATCCCTCGACCTGTCCAGGTACTATCCCTCCACTTGTCCAGGTACTATCCCACCACCTGTCCAGGTACTATCCCCTCCACCTGTCCATGGTAACTATCCCGCCGCCCTGTCCAAGGTTACATCCCTTCCAACCTGTCCAAGGTACTATCCCTCCCGCCCCTGTCCAGGGTACTCTATCCCCTCCACCTGTCCATGGTAACTATCCCTTCGCATGTCCAGGTACTATCCCTACACCATGTCCAGGTACTCTCCCTCCGCCTGTCCAGGATACTATCCCTCCCACCTGTCCAGGTCTATCCCTCCGCCGTCCAGGTACTATCCTCCGCCTGTCCAGATGCTATCCCGCAGCCTGTCCAGGTACTATCCCTCCACCTTTCCAGGTACTATCCCTCCGCTGTCCAGGTGCTAATCCCTCCACCCTGTCCAGGGGGTACTATCCTCCGCCTTTCCGGTACTACTCCCTGTCCAGGTTAATATCCCTCCACCTGTCCAGGTACTATCCCTTCCGCCGTCCAGGTACTATCCCTCCGCCTGTCCACGGTTACTATCCCTCCCTGGTCCAGGTTACTATCCCTCCCGGCCTGTCCAGGTACTATCCCTTAGACCTGTTCCAGGTACTATCCTCTGCCGCTTGTCCAGGTACTATCCCTCCACCTGTCCAGGTACTATCCCTCCGCCTGTCCAGGTACTATCCCTCCGCCTGCCAGTACTATCCCTCTGACCTGTCCAGGTACTACTCCCTCCGCCTGTCCATGTACTATCCCTCCGCCTGTCCAGGTACTATCCCTCCACCTGTCCAGGTACTATCCCTCCGCCTGTCCAGGTACTATCCCTCCGCCTGTCCAGGTACTATCCCTCCGCCTGTCCAGGTACTATCCCTCCACCTGTCCAGGTACTATCCCTCCGCCTGTCCAGGTACTATCCCCCGCCTGTCCAGGTACTATCCCTCCACCTGTCCAGGTACTATCCCTCTGCCTGTCCAGCTACTATCCCTCCCTGTCCAGGTACTATCCCCCTCCGCCTGTCCAGGTACTACCCCCATTCTCTGCCTGTCCGGTACTATCCCTCCACCTGTCCAGGTACTATCCCCCCGCCTGTCCAGGTACTATCCCTCACCTGTCCAGGTACTATCCCCCGCCTTTTCCAGGTACTATCCCTGTCCGTCCCCCGCCTGTCCAGGTCTCCCACCTGTCCAGTACTATCCCTCCACCTGTCCAGGTACATCCCTCTTCCAGGTACTATCCCTCCACTGTCCAGTACTATCCCTTGCCTGGTCAGCATCCCTCCACTGTCCAGGACTATCCCTCCCTGTCCAGGTACTATCCTCGCCTGTCCAGTCATCCTCACCTGTCCAGGTACTTCCCTCGCAGTCAAGGTTTCCTCCACTGCAGGTATCCCTCTACCTGTCTAATCCCTTCACCTGTACGGTACAGCCCTACACTGTCGGACTAATTTCTTCACAGAAGCAGACAAATGGCTGGGCAGGCAGGCATACAATGGCTACTGTAGATTAACCACTATATCACTTCAGATGAACCACTATACCACTTCAGAAAATGTGAGTAATGCTAAAGGTTAATGAGTGAGAAGCCATAATGTGAGTAATGCTAAAGGTTAATGAGTGAGAAGCCATAATGTGAGTAATGCTAAAGGTTAATGAAACACAAAGAAAGGCGGCAGGTAGCTTAGTGGTTAAGAGCGTTGTGCCAGTAACCGAAAGGTCGCTGGTTCTAATCCCCGAGCCGACTAGGTAAAAAATCTGTCGATGTGCCCTTGAGCAAGGCACTTAACCCTAATTGCTCCTGTAAGTCGCTCTGGATAAGAGTGTCTGCTAAATGACTAAAATGTAATGTAAAATGTGGTCATGCTGTAAATCAACTGAAACTACAACGTACAGCCACTGCTCTCCAAACCGACCGGTCTTTAGGAGGCGTTGATTGTTTGTTGTATTTTAGCCTTGTTTGTGTACACAATCCCTCAGATTAACAGCATAGGAGTCAGATCAGATCAAACATACAAAGCAGCCAATCAACGTACAAACAGTAATAAACAGTAATAAACCCAGTGTGACCTGGTTACCCAGTAAATCCCTCCACCTCTGTGAACCCAGTGCATTAGCAGTGCATTGCTAGCAGGCTTTATCTCCAAGGCTTCATTCCAAATGCTACCCTAGTCTCTCTATAGTGCAATACTTTTGACCAGAGCCTGCACACACACCTGGGCTCTGGTCAAAAGTAATGTCATTTGGGACACACTCATTGTCTCCAAGTATTCTCTGCTGTAAGTAAGCTGCTGTAAGTAACCTAACCCTTTGGCTGATTTGTTCCAACCTCAATTTTCAGACTATGGACCCCACCACCTCTCTATCTAATCCATGGGGAGCCAGGACATTCCTGAAGGGTCTTTACCATAGAGATACAATGAGTAGAATGGCTTGTAACCTCTGACCTCTATTCATTCTAGTTCTGTGGTCTTTACCCTCTGTCTGTATGGAATGATTTTGGTTCTATGTAGCTGTTTTCTTTGGGTTGCTATCTCTCTCTCACTTGTTCTCTCTCTATTTCTCTCCCTCTCTCCCTTTCCTTCTCTTGCTATTCAATACATCTTTACTTGCAGAATACTCATGTAAATACTGTCAAAGCAGAGGAAATGAAGTTGCCAGTAAAGTACTGTAAAATGTTCCAGATTAATATGCTGTAATTAAACAACTGCTTCCTGTATTTGACTGGTCCCTCCCTCCCTCCACCCCTCCCCCTCTCTCTCCTCAGCTCGGCGACCCTGCCCTCCATGATGAAGTGTGTAGAGGAGAACAATGGAGTGGACAAGCGGATCAGTCGTTTCATACTTCCCATCGGGGCCACCGTCAACATGGATGGGGCGGCCATCTTCCAGTGCGTTGCGGCTGTCTTCATCGCACAGCTCAACAACGTAGATCTCAACGCCGGTCAGATCTTCACCATCCTGTGAGTGGGGTGGGGACAGAAGGGATGGTGGGGTTTGCAAAATTCCCAGGTTCCCAGGTTTTCCAGAATTTCCAGTTGGAAGATTCTGGGAATCACGAGGGAATAAGCAAGAAATCTGGAAATTTGGGAAAGTTACTGGAATTTTTCATTCCTATGTCTGACACTCTGTTAATGTATCACATGCAGTATATACACTGTATATATTGATGAATCTTTCTTGTTTTAGACATGTAGTCTTGGTTAGAAGGGACATTATATAGTACAGTGCATTGGGAAAGTATTCAGACCCATTGCCTTTTTCTAATTTTGTTACGTTACAGCCTTATTCTAAAATGGATTAAAATGTATTTTTTTCTCCCTTATACGTCTACACACAATACCCTAAATGACAAAGTAAAGGTTTTTAGAAATGTTAGCAAAAATAAATAAATAATAATAATTAAATATTACATTTAAATAAGTATTCTGACCCTTTACTCCGTACTTTGTTGAAGCACCTTTGGCAGCGATTACAGCATCGAGTCTTCTTGGGTATGACGCTACAAGCTTGGCACACCAGTATTTGGGGAGTTTCTCCCATTCTTCTCTGCAGATCCTCTCAAGCTCTGTCAGGTTGGATGGGGAACGTCGCTGCACAGCTATTTTCAGGTCTCTCCAGAGATGTTCGATCTGGTTCAAGTCCAGGCTCTGGCTGGGCCACTCAAGGACATTCAGAGACTTGTCCCGAAGCCACTCCTGCGTTGTCTTGGCTGTGTGCTTAGGGTTGTTGTCCTGTTGGAAGGTGAACCTTCGCCCCAGTCTGAGGTCCCGAGCGCTCTGGAGCAGGTTTTCATCAAGGATCTCTCTGTACTTTGCTCCGTTCATCTTTCCCTCGATCCTGACTAGTCTCCCAGTACATGCCGCTGAAAAACATCCCCACAGCATGATGCTGCCACCAACATGCTTCACCGTAGGGATGGTGCCAGGTTTCCTCCAGACGTGACGCTTGGCATTTAGGCCAAATAGTTAAATCTTGGTTTCATCAGACCAGATAATCTTGTTTCTCATGGTCTGAGAGTCCTTTAGGGCCTTTTGGCAAACTCCAAGCGGGCTGTCATGTGCCTTTTACTGAGGAGTGGCTTCCGTCTGGCCACTCTACCACTGATTGGTGGAGTGCTGCAGAGATGGTTGTCCTTCTGGAAGGTTCTCCCATCTCCACAGAGGAACACTGGAGGTCTGTCAGAGTGACCATTGGGTTCTTGGTCACCTCCCTGACCAAGGCCCTTCTCCCCCAATTGCTCAGTTTGGCCGGGCGGCCAGCTCTAGGAAGAGTCTTGGTGGTTCCAAACTTCTTCTATTTAAGAATGATGGAGGCCACTGTGTTCTTGGGGACCTTCACTGCTGCAGACATTTTTTGGTACCCTTCCCCAGATCTGTACCTCGACACAATCCTGTCTCGGAGCTCTATGGACAATTCCTTCGACCTCGTGGCTTGGTTTTTGCTCTGACATGCACTGTCAACTGTGGGACCTTATATAGACAGGTGTGCGTCTTTCCAAATCATGTCCAATCAATTTAATTTACCACAGGAGGAATCCAATCAAGTTGTAGAAACATCTCAAGGATGACCAATGGAAACAGGATGCACCTGAGCTCAATTTCGAGTCTAATAGAAAAGGGTCTGAATACTTATGTAAATAAGGTATTTCTGTCTTTTATTTGTAATACATTTGCAAACATAAAAAAAGAACTGTTTTCGCTTTGTCATTATGGGGTATTGTGTGTAGATTGATTAGGAAAACGTTTTATTTAATCCGTTTTAGAATAAGGCTGTAACGTAACAAAATGTGGAAAAAGTCAAGGGGTCTGAATACTTTCCGAATGCAGTGTATATCCATTGCTGCATGTATAGCTGTCTCTGGTACCATGGGAGTTCATCTTTCTATTCCCTAGGTTGGCTTGGTGGGTGGTGTGTTGACTAATGAAATATAATATGTCTGTGGTTGGTTCTGACATATCTGCTACACTGGAGTGTTGTGAAAACAGTAGGTTTTTAAACTGCTACACTGGAAGTGTAAACGGCAAAGGTTACGTGTAGCAGTGTAGCAGGCTGTAAAGTATGCATCAACTCTGGTGAGGATTAGTAAAGCCTGCTGTGTGTTGCTGTTTGTCCTCTAGTGGAGGTTATAACACTTGGTGTGTGTTGCTGTATGTCCTCTAGTGGAGGTTATAACACTTGGTGTGTGTCTGGCTCTGTCCCCACAGTGTGACAGCCACAGCATCCAGTGTGGGCGCAGCGGGCATCCCAGCCGGGGGTATCATCACCATCGCCATCATCCTGGAGGCTATCGGCCTGCCCACCAACGACCTGTCACTCATGCTGGCCGTCGACTGGATCGTGTGAGTAACACCTGTATAGTATAGAGAATCTATAGAACTCGCGCACACACACAGACACACACAGACACACACAGACACACACACACACACAGACAAGCACACACATACGGACAAACACATTCTTGTACACACACGTGGACACACACACACAAGCACACACATAGACACACTCTTACCAATGTACTCACTCTCATTTTGGCCAGCTGCTATATCAAAATATCAGGCGTTAATTCCAGTAACATAAACTAACAGTAGACCTGTACTGAAATAGATGTGTTCTGCATAGCAACTGTGGTTATGTTACCTTAGATGTATGCTAACGGTCAAAGATGGCTCCTGATTCATCTTATCAACTGTGGTAATGTTACCTTAGATGTATGCTAACAGTCAAAGATAGCTCCTGATTCATCATATCAAACTTGATATACTGCTTAGCTTCTGACAAAAAGTATCCTAATAAATTGTTTGTGTGGGTACATCTGTGTGTGTGTATGTGTATGTGTATGTGTGTGTGTGTGTGTGTGTGTGTGTGTGTGCAGGGACCGCACCACCACCGTAGTGAACGTGGAGGGAGACGCCCTGGGGGCAGGGATCCTCCACCACATCAACCAACAGGAGATGAAGAAACAACAACAACTGGACCAGGAGCTAGCAGAGGTTCTGGTGGAAGCGGTAGCCAACACCCAGGCTGACGAGGAGACCTCCCCGCTCGTCACACATCAAACCCCGGGTTCAGCGGGCGACCAGTCCCCCAGGGAGACCGCGGAAGCCATTGAGTCTGTCCTGTGAACTCGTAAACCAACTGTGAATTCCGTCTCTATGGTTACAATCGGTGGTGGCTGGTGGCACTTTAAATCCGAGGATGGGCTCATAGCAATGGCTGGAACGAAATGAATGGAATGGTATCAAAACAATTCAAACATATGGTTTTCTTTGTGTTTGATATCATTACATTCACTCCATTCCAGTCATTATTATTAGCCGTCCTCCCCTCACCAGCCTCCTCTGGTGTCTAAGGTTACGACACTGCTGCTGCTACTGCTGACACGACCAAGTCAACCGAATCGACTTTGAATCAACTCTGAGCACCTTTACTATACCTCTTAAAACAGTTCATGAGTCATTTCACTTCTAGGAAAGCAGTGCCAGAGATAAAGTTCTTGTGAGGTGAAGTCATGTTTGTTTTATATTGTGGTACTTCCTATTTGGAGTATTCTAAAAGTGTATTTAAAAGCCACAAGAAGGTTAGCCTAGCCCTTTAGAATGATTCTTGCTCAAATTGATTTCTGGTTTTGGGATAAGGGTGGTTGGTCTATTTGACATAGAATCTAAAAAAGGGAATCTCTCCTAACCATGACGTGGCTGTGACCTCACGAGGCAGATAGGAAGGAGAATCATTAACTAACTGACAGAGTTTTTTTGTTTGTTTTCTGTTGATAGTCGACCCAGAACGTGAAACATTAACACCTCGAATGACAAAAGTCTCTCAAATATTTGGGGTAAATATTAGGGAAGAGCCTTTTGGTTTGCCTTTTGGTTATGTACTAGAACCTACTGACCCAATGACCTACTACGGTGACTGTCTGTAATATTGGATTTGGGACCATAAGGATCTGTGTCGATATAGTGCAGGTTCAATTAGGGGCAAATCCTAACTTCTACTTAAGTAGAATTTTCACTTAGTCTCACATTGACATCAGTACATGACTAAGTGGACATTTGTCTTAAATGGAAGTTAGGATTTATTCCTTAGGCAATGCATTGAAATATGGTGGTGAGCACACTCCATTTACTAAAACGTTAAAGTGCAGACCGAGGACAACAAGGGCTATCCTATCCTTCTATTGTTGTGAGAATGGATGACTTTCAACCGTAAGTTGCCTCCATCAGTGATGTCCCAGACCCTTGCTAATATGGGTTTCATTTACTGAAGAAACCAAACCATGCGTTCTTTGGAACTTTTTCTTTTTGGATTGAGAGGAAGCATGGTCAGACGGTATGTATCACAAATTGGCACCCTATTCCCTATATAGTGCACTAACTGACCCATAGGGCTCTGGTTAAAAGTAGTGCACTATGTAAGGAATAGATAGCCATTTGGGATGCAGCCATGTGCATTGGTAAAGGCATGCTCTCATTATTGACTCCTAATAGTATTTATCTCTATCCTTGGACATGAAGGAAACGGCCGAAGTTGTTAGAGCAGCCTTTTGCTGTTGCTAGGTACATATATACAGTCTATGGGATACATGTATGTTTTACAAATTACTAAAATGTTAAAATGTACAAAATAATGATCATATTACAGTAGTGGTTCTGCTGACACCTAGTGGTGGCATGGCTCAATGTTTTGAGTTCTGGCATGAGAATGGAGCAAGCATGTGAAAGTACAGCATTTTTATGGTATTTATTAATTTGGTCCTATATGGGCCAATGTGGACTATTTTATCTGTGGTCAAATTGATTTCTTAGTAAAGAATCAATATGTCTGTTTGCTAGAAATGATTTACTCAGACCTATGGGGGGGGGGGGGAATGTTGTACTAACTCACTAATGTACCAACTCTGTTCCACAATTGCACTTCTACTCAGACCAATCATTTGCTGAAGCAGTTTTTAGGTGTTTTAAATTGAAGGTTGTTCCTCTAGCAAGGAAAAGTATATGTTATTAACTGTTTTATACAAGATCGTATCCACCCTGATGTCAGAATCTTGGGGAATATATTGTCTCTAAACTCTAAACCTGTCCTTAAAAATGTGAAGAAGTTGCCAATCTGTCATTGGAAAACTATGGCCCTACATTGTTTGACAGTGAATTAATATATATGTTTTGAAAACCAGAAACTGGTTGTTAGAAGGAGCGTTATGTTTGAATATTCTTTCTTTATTCAACATGATCATCTTTCAGTTGAACGACCCTTTACTTTTATGACTTATAAATCTTTTTTTCACACTAAAGCTGACTGAATTTAAAGTATCGTGAGAATATGCTGAAATAATCTGGAACAATCACAGATATGTACTTGAATAAGCTATATGAAGGAATTTTAATTTATTCTAATTGCATTAACATTTTGTATAATTTGTATTTTTGAAAAAAAACGATTTAGGTATTTGCTCTCAATTTCTAGCTGCGAAATCTGTCCCTAACGCCTTTCTCTGATGTCAAAGTATTTTTCTTACAGCCTTAAGTATGTAGCCTGGTCCAGCTCTGGTTGTGCTCTTGCCAACTCCATTGCTGTAATTGTCAAGACAATATACTTGGCATAGCAATGAGTGGCATGGCATGATAGCACAAACAGATCTGGCACTCAAGCTATAAAGTATGTCCTCCATTTTGTTTTGTGGTATTTTGACCAACAGGAATAACTACTATGTTTCCTGTGCAATGATGATGTCATTCTTTGTAACACAGCTGTATCTTTTACTTGTCTCAGTCTTCTAAAATTAAATATGTGTGTTTCAGCCAACAGAGATGATTTGCTGGTGTTTCCTGATGTCTGAATAGTAGCCTAGTCTGTTGGTACACTCATCTTGTCCACCAGAATTAGCCTGAAGATGGGGTTAGAGGTCAAATATGTAATAAATACATGTTTAGGTGGGCGTATACAGTGCCTTGCAAAAGTATTCATCCCCCTTGGCGTTTTTCCTATTTTGTTGCATTACAACCTGTCATTTAAATGGATTTTTATTTGGATTTCATGTAATGGACATACACAAAATAGTCCAAATTGGTGAAGTGAAATGAAAAAAATAACTTGTTTCGAAATAAATTATAACGGAAAAGTGGTGCGTGCATATGTATTCACCCCCTTTGCAATGAAGCCCCTAAATAAGATCTGGTGCAACCAATTACGTTCAGAAGTCACATAATTATTTAAATGAAGTCCACCTGTGTGCAATCTAAGTGTCACATGATCTGTCACATGATCTCAGTATATATACACCTGTTCTGAAAAGCCCCAGAGTCTGCAACACCACTAAGCAAGGGGCACCACCAAGCAAGCGGTACCATGAAGACCAAGGAGCTCTCCAAATAGGTCAGGGACAAAGTTGTGGAGAAGTACAGATCAGGGTTGGGTTATAAAAAAATATCAGAAACTTTTAACATCCCACGGAGCACCATTAAATCCATTATAAAAAAATTGAAAGAATATGGCACCACAACAAACCTGCCAAGAGAGGGCCGCCCACCAAAACTCACAGACCAGGCAAGGAGGGCATTAATCAGAGAGGCAACAAAGAGACCAAAGATAACCCTGAAGGAGCTGCAAAGCTCCACAGCGGAGATTGGAGTATCTGTCCATAGGACCACTTTAAGCCGTACACTCCACAGAGCTGGGCTTTACGGAAGAGTGGCCAGAAAAAAGCCATTGCTTGAAGAAAAAAATAAGCAAACACGTTTGGTGTTCGCCAAAAGGCATGTGGGAGACTCCCCAAACATATGGAAGAAGGTACTCTGGTCAGATGAGACTAAAATTGAGCTTTTTGGCCATCAAGGAAAAGGCTATGTCTGGCGCAAACCCAACACCTCTCATCACCCCGAGAACACCATCCCCACAGTGAAGCATGGTGGTGGCAGCATCATGCTGTGGGGATGTTTTTCATTGGCAGGGACTGGGAAACTGGTCAGAATTGAAGGAATGATGGATCAAATCAAATCAAATCAAATGTTATTGGTCACATGCGCCGAATACAACAGGTGCAGACATTACAGTGAAATGCTTACTTACAGCCCTTAACCAACAGTGCATTTATTTTTAACAAAAAAAGTAAAAATAAAACAAAAAAAGTGTTGAGAAAAAAAAGAGCAGAAGTAAAATAAAGTAACAGTAGGGAGGCTATATATACAGGGGGGTACCGTTGCAGAGTCAATGTGCGGGGGCACCGGCTAGTTGAGGTAGTTGAGGTAATATGTACATGTGGGTAGAGTTAAAGTGACTATGCATAAATAATTAACAGAGTAGCAGCAGCGTAAAAAGAATGGGGTGGGGGGGGGCAGTGCAAATAGTCCGGGTAGCCATGATTAGCTGTTCAGGAGTCTTATGGCTTGGGGGTAGAAGCTGTTGAGAAGTCTTTTGACTTGGACTTGGCACTCCGGTACCGCTTGCCGTGCGGTAGCAGAGAGAACAGTCTATGACTAGGGTGGCTAGAGTCTTTGACAATTTTGAGGGCCTTCCACTGACACCGCCTGGTATAGAGGTCCTGGATGGCAGGAAGCTTGGCCCCAGTGATGTACTGGGTCGTACGCACTACCCTCTGTAGTGCCTTGCGGTCGGAGGCCAAGCAGTTGCCATACGAGGCAGTGATGCAACCAGTCAGGATGCTCTCGATGGTGCAGCTGTAGAATTTTTTGAGGATCTGAGGACCCATGCCAAATCTTTTCAGTCTCCTGAGGGGGAATAGGCTTTGTCGTGCCCTCTTCACGACTGTCTTGGTGTGTTTGGACCATGATAGTTCGTTGGTGATGTGGACACCAAGGAACTTGAAGCTCTCAACCTGTTCCACTACAGCCTCGTCGATGAGAATGGGGGCGTGCTCAGTCCTCTTTTTTTTCCTGTAGTCCACAATCATCTCCTTTGTCTTGGTCACGTTGAGGGAGAGGTTGTTGTCCTGGCACCACACAGCCAGGTCTCTGACCTCCTCCCTATAGGCTGTCTCATCGTTGTCGGTGATCAGGCCTACCACTGTTGTGTCGTCTGCAAACTTAATGATGGTGTTGGAGTCGTGCCTGGCCATGCAGTCATGGGTGAACAGAGAGTACAGGAGGGGACTGAGCACGCACCCCTGAGGGGCCCCCGTGTTGAGGATCAGTGTGGCAGATGTGTTGTTACCTACCCTTACCACCTGGGGGCG